ATCCATCCATCCATCCATCCATCCATCCATCCATCCATCCATCCATCCGATGCTGAGAGCTTATGTATTAATTATTGCTTTTAAGACATTTTTTAGTATTTGCAAGCAATGTATATCTTTTGCAGAAAAAAGATTTAAAAATCCAGAGAAGTAAAGAGAATCTCTCTGAAATCCCAAGGCTTGGAGATACTCCTCTGAACATCCAGAGGCACTATTTTCTAGATAAAGCCAGAGACATCTTTTAGGAGGCCTTAAAAGCTCAGCAACAGGTCTTGTGCCAAGTGTATCAAGCAAGGGGCCTGTCTAAAAGTTACAGCCACTTCATAAAAATCAAATTTCATACTAAGTGTCTTTATTTTCCACTCACCTCAATCTATCAGTAGTTTTGAGGACACAAGACTTGTCTTCTTGAGTGGCCTTAACTGGCCAGAGAGGAGTAGTAGCCAACCTAGTAGGTGAGAGATGTGTTTTGTGACTACCCCAGTCCCTACCTTTCTTCAGCATTGGGTCTTCAGCTATGTTTCTCAGCTGTCTTACATGCCTACCCCCACAGATAATTGATTTTAAAGATCTCTATCTTAATAGTTGACCTTGTAGGAGTCAAGAGGTGGCATGTTTATCAGGAAACTGATCTAGAAGGTCCTCAAAGTGTGGAGTTTGGGCACAGGGGATCAAGGAAGCTCTGAGCAAGGGCCTTGTCTTAGTTATTTTTCAATTACCTGATAAAATGCCAGGACCAAAGCAACTTATAAAAGAAAGTACTTAATTTGAGGCTCATGATCCAGAGAGTTAGGGTCCACGGCTATCTTGATGAGCAACATGACAGCAGGCAGGCATGACAGGAGAGCAGTAATATTCATCCATCTATCTATCTACTTATCTGCCCATATATATATCAATCATGTATCCCATCTATTCATCCATCTATTTATCTATCACTCTATCTATCTATCTATCTATCTATCTTGCTGTCCACGGACCTACCTAACTATCCATCTTCCTGACACTGCTGTGAGGTATTATGTTATGCTAGTGAGGTTTACCCTTCTTTCATGCTTGTTAATGTTAGCTGTTTTGAATCTTTCAAATGATGAATATAATTTATCAGATCCTGTGAGAGTCTAGATAGTATAGATTCTTTACCTGTTAAAAGCTGTATATACATTCTTCTGTCTAGCATTTAGTTTTTAAAACCATCTTATTCATCTTGACCTATGGAATTGCCCATTTTTTCATTTCTGGATAGATTTTAGATCATCCTTCTGGTATTTTCTTTAGAATTCCTGCAGAGAAGAAGACTGCCCTGGTTGTCATCAGTTTGGAATAGCTGCATTCATCCTGGTGATGGGCAGTATTTCTTCTGGCTAAAGGGATCTATGGAAACACTCCTTTTTGCTCAGGAGATCAAGGTTCATCCACCATCTTTAGTTTCTGTTTTGGTGAAGTCCACAGCTCGCCACTTCCCTGTCTGTAGAATGTCTTTATGTCTGGCTGCTATTAAAGCTGTTCCTTTAGTGTCTATGTTTCACCATTTTACTGTGACACTTGGAGTTAGAGGTCAATCTTTATGTAGTCTATCAGGAATCCGCTGGGCTTCGATGATCTTCCTAGAAAATCCCTCAGCCATCATTTCTCAAGCATTGTTTCCATCCCAATCTCTCCTTTCCTTCTAAACACAGGAAAGTAATGTTTCTTAGACTTTCTCCTCTCTCTCTCTCTCTCTCTCTCTCTCTCTCTCTCTCTCTCTCTCTGCACACATGCGTGTGCATGCACATGTGTATGAATGTTCTTGTGTATGGTACATGTGTATGAACATTCACATATGTGCCAGTGTATATAAAGGCCAGAGATACATCTCAGTTCTGTTCTCAGCTTTCCTTATTTTTGAAGCAGGATCTCTTACTGGCCTGTACCTCACCCAGGCATCTGCTCATATGCACTTCCCCAGTACTTGGATTACAAGTGCATATTACCATCTCTGTTTGTTCTTTGGTTTTGTATGTGGGTTCTGGGATTATGGCTCAGGTATTTCCACAGCTCAGGTCTTTGTGTTTGTTCAACAAGCACTTTGTCAACTGAGACATCTCTCAACATTTTTTTTTTTTTGAAGCAGGGTCTCACTGTGTAGCCCAGGCTGACCTGCACTGGTGATTCTTCTGCCTCAGTCTCCTGAGTGTGGTCTTACGGTATGCACCTCGAGGCCCAACTGGCATGCCTTCTACCTTTAATAACTTTTGTGTCTGTCTGGACACACAATGTGGATGCATTGTTCAGTGATATCCTTAAAACTTTACTGATTTTCTTAATTCATTAAATAACTTCTTTGTTGAAACTTTATTGATATATAATTGAGTTTTAATAAATTGCATATCTTTAAGACATGTAATTTAATTAATTTTGACATAAATTTGTAGGATGCCAACAATGCAAAGTTTCCATCATGTCTCTGTAATTCCCCTCTTCTCTCCAATCTGCCTCTCCTCTTCCCAGTGAACTTTAATGTGCTTCTATTAATGTAGATTTGATTGCTCCGCCCCTTCTAGACTATGAGAGAAACAAACTCTGTGTGGGAGTTGCTCTTCTCTGGAGTTAGCTCTCCCAGACACCTCATTGATTCACTGGGCTTAATTTCTGTTGCTATAATAAAACACAGAAAAAAACAAAAACAAAACAACAACAACAACAAAAACATGCCAATAATCAGCTTAAGGGAGAAAGAATTTATTTCAGTTCATATTCCAAGTTATAGCCCCTTGTAGCAGGGATGTCAAGGCTACAGTAACTTGAAGCAGCTGTCATATGACTGTCGCATGACACCCACAGTCAAGAGCAGAGAAAAATGAATGCATGCTCTTCACTCCCTTGCTTGCTTAGCTTGAGTTTTTACTTTTATACAGCCCCAGACTCAACGCCAGGAAGTGACGTCACTCTGGGCTGAGTCTTCTCAGGTCAATTAACATAAGACAATCCTTCATAAGCAGAGTCTCTGGCCAACCTGACCTAGTTAATTCCTCATTGCCCTAAGTTGTTTTTCGGTTGGATTGAGTTGCCAGTTAAAAGTGATTACCACATCCATGTTGTATGCACGAACACTTTATCTCTTCTCGATTGACTCGTATGCCTGAGGATGGCTGCGGTGCAGCTCATGGTTAGGGAGTCACATCAGTGAAAGCTTCACAAGCTAAACCCATAGAGTCTCACCAACATGGTAGACTAAATTTTTTTTTTTTTTGAGACAAGTGCCCTCTGAATGTGGGACTATAGGTATGTGCTACTATACCTGGTCCAAATAGTTCTATTGTTTATTTATTTGGGTTCTTGGGACTAAACCCATACAAATGCCGGGCAAATGCTCTACCACTGTGTTACATCTCTAATTACCAGTTTTTATTTCCCTCACATTATATCTTAAAGGGTGATCATCTTCAATTTTGATGAAATGCATTTTCTTCCTTTCCCCTTTCGTTGTGTTTGCTCTCAGTGTAAAATCCTGAAGTTTCCTTCCGCTTTCTCTACTACTCTGTCCCTCAAGCTTCACACTCCAGCCTTGGATCCATGCTCACTTTTCTTTATGGTTATGACTTCTGGATAGAAGCTCAGGGTTTAGCAGGTGGCCATCTGCTTGCCCTAACATGATCTATTTATCTGTTTTGATGCAAGTATCACCCCATTTTGATTATAACACCTAAACCCAAGAGTTTCTATATGAGGCTGGTGGATTCAAAACTGTGTGGTACTTCTATCAGGATAGACAGAGACTGATTATTGGAGAGACAAGGAGGTGAAAAGGGACTTTTGATAACTTTTTAAAGGAAAATCAGTGGAGAAACAGAGAAGGAATTTTCAACCAACAGTGCCCAGCCTAGAAAGCATAAGGAAGTCTTGAGTGAGCATCTCATCTGACTCTGCTCTAGGGAGCAGTGATTTCATCACACAATGCCTGCCAGTCCAGCCATTGTCCAGATTGTAAGTCAAATGAATCATCCCTCATCTCCACCAGAAGTCTGTAGCCTTCCACAGTGGTCTCTTCTTGTTCACTGACTGTCTTTATTAGTTTGACCTTTTAAACAGTTTTATTACACTTATTTGTTTGTATACTCTGTGTGTCTTGATGTCAGGGATGATGTGTGAGGTGGAGTCTCTCCTTCCACTGTGTGTGTCCTGGTGATGGAATTTAGGTTGTTAGGCTTAGTGGCAACACCTTTACCCACTGAGAGAGCCATCTTGAACCCAGTTCTACTGATTTTTAAATGTAGTTACTCATGGATATTATGTTTTATCTCTAAGAAGCACATACATACAAAATCTTTCCACTTCATCCTTTGAGGTGGAGTCTTACTGCATCTGCAGTTTGTAAATTCAGCTTGGCTGTCTGTCCATTACAGTTCAGGCCTCCTTCCATGTCCATCTGTCTCCCCAGCATGGGGATAACAGACTCCCACAGCCTGGCTTTTCTGCTCATGCTGAGGATCTAGATTGTGTTTAGCATGGCACATACCTTGCTGACTTAGCCTTCTCTCAAGGCCCTCAGTCATTTTTAAAACATACTTCAGAGTTTGCTCTTGATGATCCCAGCAGTTAAATTCCCCCACAACTGAGTGCCTTGTGCTTATGGTATGGGAACACTGAGATCTGAATTGAAAGCACCCCTCTTGGGGTGGAGTGAAGAGTACTTGTTTTGCTTCTGCTAAACCTGCTAGAAACTTTGCTTCTCATGTAAGTGAAGCTCTTGACGTTAAGGTTTTCCTGGTCTCAGCCCACAGGAATCAGGGAAGGTCTCTCCTGTTTATGAATTGAACTGGAATGATTTTTCCCCATTCCCTGAGGGTGTGGTGTGGGCTGGGAGCACTCACTTCTCAGTCACAAGTGTGGTGAGTGCATGGCCTGCCAGGGCCTGAGGTCTCTGCAACAATAAGAACTGCCCCCTTGATATCCACTAAGGTCCTGTCCCACCAAGCTAGGGGACATATACAGAAATTACCTGATCTGGAGAAACTTTTGAGATGAAAGCGGATTTACCTGCCTAGGTTTTCTTTCTTTAGAATTTTAACTGTTTTGTACCTTCCAATCAGACTATCAATACACTTTAATCTATTTAATTTTTAAGAACAACTTACTTGTTGTTCCAGCTGGTTTCGGCACACGAAGGGCTGTAATGGGACCAGAGTGTTAGATCAGGGCTTGGAACCCAGGAGGCTGGGCTCACATTTAATTTGCTGTGCCTCTTTGTTAAGAAGTTGCTTTCATTCCTAATATTTTTTAAGCTCTGATTTTGCTAATTTGATCAAGCCAATGTCAGTCTTCTGGTGGAGCTCCTAAGTGCTGGGGTCACCATCTGTGTGAGAAGCTGCACATTTTGATGTCCACAAGGCTACCTTTTCTTCTGTAGTTACCCAGTGATGGTCTTGTTGAAGAAGTCTTCCCTAACTTCAGTCTCCCAGTGTCATGAGCATATAAAGACTTCCTCTGACACATCCCTGACATCAATATACATGGTCATACATATGGAAGGATTTGGTTTGATTTTTGTGATTTATGCAACTGGGGAGCACGGATCAAATGTGAATTTTTAAAATTTGCTTTATCAACTAGTTATATCTTAATGTTTTTGAAACTACATATATGCTATTATATCACTCATACGTATTTCCACATATAGAGATTTTATTGGATTGGAAAACTCTAAAACATAATGTAGAAGTTACATAAAAATCAAGGGTCCCTAGGCTGTTTGCTGTTTTTTTAGCTCCCCGTTTATACTCAATGTTCATTTCAGGGCCTTTCCGTTCGATTTCATTTCTCTCTCCCTCTCTCTATTCCAACACTATAGTGAGAACGGCTGTTTCATTAATGACATTGCTCAAGTTAAAAGAGAGGGAGTCGAAAACTCGGGGTCCATTTTGAGAGTGGAAATGGAAACACGGCGGAGCTTCATGCTTGCATGACTAATTACTTAGATGTTAACTCGAGGCCCAGAGATTCACAAAGTTCTCGAAATGCATCTGTGCCAGGCCCACAGCAAGCACTGGACCGTGGAATTGGGTTTTGTTGATTAATTTGTGGCCATGTACAAGCATGAAGCGCCCAGAGACTTGGTTGAGGAAACATCCAGCAAATGCAAAATAGATAGCTCCCATAGAGGGGAGATGACAGGCGTGTGGTGTGTGTGTGTGTGTGTGTGTGTGTATGTGTGTGTGTGTCGGGGACTCAGTCCTAAAGGGCACATTCAGCCCTGAAGACAGGATTCTATACATCATGAAGGTCTACCTTGGGCATTTGCTATTTTCGTCTTCAGTCAAGATGCAATTTACTCAGAAAAGTCTGTGAGGTGAGGTCCACAGTCAGGTAGATGGCCTTTGCTGCCTATGCCACATACCACACATGGCTGAGACCCTATGACCCATTGGCTACAGAATCAGAGCTTTGTGCATGGTCACAGGGTTCTCTGCTTTGACATGTCCTTAGGGCCATGAGAGGATCTGGGAGAAACAGTAGGACTAAGCTCTCCCCTGGATGAACATGTATGAGTCAGGCCTGTTCACCCACTTGCCAGGTCTCTCCTTAGATCTCACCACAGCAGTATTATAGAGCAACAGCAGGGCTAACATATTTCAACGTGTCAAGACTCGTGACAGCAACCTCAGCCCTCCTATCTCCTGAGTGAACCAAGGGCCTCCACTCCAAACTGAAGCCCACAGGCTCATGATCTTAACCCACCAGTCTTCAGGGATCCCTGCTGCACTGACCTGGGCAAGGAATGTTCACTGTGACTGGTCTCCATGAGACCAATGAGCACAGGTATCCTGAAACACATGGCAGGACCCAGAGGAAGCAGAAAAGAGGTTTGCATAGAGCCTATAGTTCAGTTCAAAATCTGAACCATCGGGGCTTTCTTTTTAAAAGTATAATGTAGAGAATGGATCAGCTCAGCGTCACAAACTAGATGTGAACCTTAAAGAACTAGGTTGATCTGAAACTCAGCCATGAATAAGCAGAGCGGGAGAGAGGGAACGAGCCTTGCATCACGTACTAAGTAGACATGTACTTAGGGTTATGTGCATACTCAAGGTCCTTCAAACCAAAGCAAGCATCCTGAGAGGCGACACCCACATCAACCCTCCTTGAGTTCTTTAGAAAGTGGGGCTTGGGTTGTAAAGTGAGCTCTTTGAAGGAGGCTGTGAAGAGCCAGGCAGGGAAAGGTGTGTAGAGACACTTAACGAGTGGCCTCAGCCTGGGCCCGCAGGTCCTCTAAAGTGAGACTTGTTCCATACAGATTGTCCTACTTAGAGGTAAGTATGTCTGAACCATGGCACCCCACACCAGCCAGTCAGCCACAAGGGAGTGGAGGTGAGGTGGAAAGTTTCCTGGCCCAGAGGGTATGCATGTCCCCAAAAGCAGGGTAGAGATGGGTAGCCCCCGGGGAGAACTATTAGGTGGGACCTCACAGCACCTGGCATGCCTTGGGGTTCCCTGAATGACAGCAGATGAAAAACTGCCCAACTAGGGTAATTTTTTTTAATGTAGTTGCTTGTGGGGAGGTAGGGGCAGTACACACAGACTCCTCTGAGATGGTCAAGAGAGATGGGGGACAGCCCCAGCCCAAGGCTAAACAAAGCATCTCTTCAAAGACAGTACCAGTGTGTGTGTGTGTGTGTGTGTGTGTGTGTGTGTGTTATCCTCAAGTATGACAGGGTCCAGATCCTACTATGGTAAGACTGACTGGAGGGCCAGGAATTCTCCTGACAGACCTCCTAGCCCCTTTGATTGAATGAAGTCTCCAAGGTTCAGGTTATTTGCCATTCATAAAGCCTGCAAGCCAGCTGCAGTTACCAGTGGTCTTGGGGGCAAAGGTGAGCCTGCACACTTACTGGCTGTGCGTCCCCTACAGGTCCTGACTCCCTTCCTTCTTTTGTGTGCTTTGAAATCACTCAGCAGGAGCTCCGGTGGGTTCAGGGGGTTATGATGAGTGAAATAGCAGCCTGCCTTCCCTCCTCTGATAGCTCTTCAGGAATCTGTGGTCTTGACAAATGGGACAGAGGCTTCAGGAAATGAGCTAGCCCCTCCGCCCCCATGGCAGAGGATGACAGCCCCTGCTCCAGGGTGGGAAGGCAAGTTTCTTTCAAATGTAGATACCCAGTGAAGAAGAGTAAAAAGCTACTCTCTCATGGTTGGTGCCAGGAGAAGGCAACACCTGAGAGGATGCTGTATGTTCTTCAGCCCTGATTTAAAATTCTGCAGTCGGCCCTGTTGACGTGGAACTGTGGTTGGATCTTGGAGAAAGCTCTAACAAACAAGGCAGGAAGAAGGCTAGGCATGTTGCCTCTTCCCAAGAAGGTTCTGTGGCGCTCCATGGGAGTCAAGCACTTGGAAACTGAAACCGTACAGGAGGGCAGCTCTCTTAAGGATCTGCAGAGAGGTTTCAAACAAGCTTAAGGCATGTCTCAGTGAACCTTCATCTCAGCTGGCTTTCCCCTAAGATGTGGGTGCTACGTGAGATGGCTGGTCTATTTAGAGCTACACCTGCCTGTCAGTAAAATATTATGAGCCTGAATCCTAAGAGACAAGTACAAATTCATGTACACATCACACAGATGGACTTGCCAGATACATGCCATGTATGACAAAGGTCGTGCACCAAGAGAGTGCATTCTATATGACAGCCGATACAAGTGAACCCCTAACCTTCTCTCTTTCCCCATCCCTGTGCTGTCTGCCCTCTGGGTTGTTAGTGACATTTTGTTTTGGGGACCACTAGATCAAATGAACTTGAAGGGGCTCTCTGTTAGGGAATTTGTGCAGATCCCCAAGATTCAGGCTGCCAACATCATCTGTGGTGGTGGCAGTGACTACGTGTGGCTCTTAGTGTAACTGTAGCTTACATGCTCAGCCACCCCAGGAGGGGAGCAGTAATTGTGCAGATCAGTGCAGGCTCCAGAACATTTTCATCTTCACAGAAAGTTCTGTTTAGCACACTGTGTAGCGTGTAGCGAAGGACCAGCCTCACTTTCCTACGCTGTTGCGAAGAAGTAGCGTGAATAACATTTAAACATGATCTCCGGCTGGGGGTCTGCCTCAGTGGGTAGAGCGCCCTCCTCACATGCATGGAGCCCTGAGTTCTAGCCTCACCACTGCATAAACCAGTCATGCTGGCCTTCACCTGGGATCCCAGCACTTAGAAGGTTAAGGCAGGAGGATCAGAGTCATGCTCAGCTGTGGAGGAAGTGCAAGGCCAGGTTGGGCTTCGTGAGACCATTTCCAGCCCAATCCTGGGTTTCCCAGTCACCCCTGGGGCCTCTCTAGCTTTCCTGGTAGATACCACACAATGACTGTAGACACACTGCTCTGCCCCACAGGTGTGAAGGGAGTTTCTGGCAAAGAGCCAAACGACTGTGCAAGCCACCCTGGTTGCCAAGAAGAAGCTGTCTCCCCCACCGACTTGAGGGATTAGAGCCACGGGGGACCCTTGGGAGGAATTCGGCAGAAGTGGCAGGTAACATTTTCCTCAGTGGCGAATCCAGACTAAGTGAGCAAAGGTACGGGTGGAGGCAGTGGTGGCTGTGGGTGTCACAGCCCATGACAAGTGTTATGGTTCTGTGAGAGGCATGTGTCTAATGCTTACCTGGGCAGCAATCAGGACAAGGCCCAGAGGGAAGTGGGACATGAACTCATGGAGGCCACTTTCTGGAGTAGAGACATCCCAAACTCCTGTCTCTGAACAGCTAGGACAAATCAGGGGACTTTTCTGAATCACCACGTCTTCCCCCTTTCACCCAGCAGTGGTGACTCCAGCCTTGGTCTCGCTTGAAGAGGGTTGACTGGGAAGAATGGAGCCATTTTTGAGAGGCTGTGGGGCCCATCTGGCCAGCAGCATCCGAATTACCATCTCTTTGTGTCTGGTTGTTAACTAGTTGGTTCAAGGGCTGACTGAAGCCTTTGTCTTGTGCCCTGGTTTTGATTCTTAGGAATGGTGGGGCATCTACTCCTCCTCTGTGTATCTTCAGTACCTCCTACAGGCAAATGACACTTGTCCCACCATCCACCCCACCGCACCCCCGTCCCCAGTCCCCAGAGTATACTCTCCATGCAGAGAGGAAGATGAGGCGTAGTGCTTTTTGATCAGAATCAAACCAATGTAGGTAGGTTGGGTACTCACGCCTACTGTTGGATGGCCTGCTGAAGAAGGCAAAACACTGCTTACATTAAGGCATCTGAAGGTTCTACATCCAAGAGGGAGAAAGGCTGGGGTGCAGAAGGATGCAGGAGCTCAACTCTGCTCTCTCTCTCTCTCTCTCTCTCTCTCTCTCTCTCTCTCTCTCTCTCTCCATGGCCCACAGCTCTCACCTTCAGCTACATCTCACAGTTCCTTATTCAGTGAAATCATCTACTGTGCTCTGCGATACCCTCTGCGGAGGACATCACATTGCTAAACATGGGTTTGCTTGTATGCCTTCCATACAAGGGCCAGAGGCTATGCCTTCACAGTGGGCCTTCATGTGACAGTATTGATGGCATCTCTGTGCTCTCCAGACTCTAGGGAATGCCTCTTCCCGTTCCCTGAGAGCCTCTTCAACTTGCAGCCTACTGTTAGGGCCCCAGATTTCAGAGCATTGCAAGATGAAAAATTACAAGCCCAGAGGCATTGAGGGGTCTCCACGTGGGAACCTAGGCCCTTGCTGTCTGGCTCTTCATTCTCTGTGCTTCGTCCTCACATATCTCCACAAGGACTTGGTTCTAGGGTTTCCCTTCATGTGGCAGGGAGCTTCAGTAATGTCTGGGTGCTGATGGTTACATCTGTCATCTGTGGGCGAGAGGTTGCCAATGGTCACAGCCGAAACAAATGGTCTCCAGCTCTCCTTTCAACAGCTTTGGAATGGTGAATCCAGCTGTTCTGGGAGCTTATACCAGCCTAGGCTCTGTGCCCTACAAAGGGGGACAAAGAGAGTCCTTTCTCTTGATAGTAGGGGAGACAGGTTGGCTGGCTCCTTGTCTGCCCTTGTCTAAGCTATCCTGGGAGTCGAATCAGTGACCTGTTCACTTCTACTTGGTGAATTTTGACTTTCAATCAGACACATGAGCTCTGGCCTATAGACCCAGATGCTCAGTATGAGATCGCAGTAGCTTCTGGGTACAGCCTTACTTTGTAGCTTCCAAAGCAGACGGTGACGTTGATTGCTAACACAGACATGTGTGACAGTGACACACACAGAGTGAAGGAGAGACCCATGGTGACTAGTGCCCGTGCTATAAGAGGAAAATGAGGCTCCTCTCATGAGTCTTGGGAGGAGGCTTCCTTTGGAGACCAGGGCCTTTTTATGGAAAGGTGGGTGTGGTTTTCTGACTGGGTATTGAGCACAGGGAGGAGAATGGCCATGATGGAGGTACAGCAGAGGTGGGTAGACTGTAGGAGCTTCCTATGAGATTGTCTAAAGAGTACATTGTCACCCAGCATGCTTGCTGGATGTAGGAAAGCTGTTCTGCTGTCCTATCCAATGTCATCACAAACCTGGTGCTTCTTATCCATGTACAGTTCTCCCAAGCAGCCTTGGGGCTTGTCACATGAGCTTATCTCCTGTAGATCCCCACTCTGTTCTTTTCTTGCACAGACAGCCATTACTGGATTCAGAGACCTCACTAAACCTAGAGTCCTCTCACCTTGAGAGTCATGCATTGATGCATACTGCGTCATTTTCACAGATCCCGAAGGCTGGGAAGCTGCTCTTCAGCCTTTGTAAGTCACCTTCATCCACTCCCACATAAACGACTGTACATGTCTTTCTGAATGATCAGAGGGCATGGTGCATGCGGGCATCCGGGACCTCCTGAATAGCAAACATGTTTGACAGAGCATTGCAGAGTTAGACTAAGCCTTTAAACAGAATCACAAGGATTGGAGGTTGTTCATTGGGTAAAATGCTGGGGAAGGGCCTAGGCCCGAGTTCATCAGTCCCTGATACCCGAATGAAAAGCCACGTGTGTAATCTTGTAACCACATCACTAGAGAGCTGGGGACGGGAGACTCTCTAGGCTTCCCTGAGAAGCCAATGTGACCAAATCAATGAAGAACTGGCTCAGTGAGGGACCCTGTCTTTTATACACACACACACACACACACACACACACACACACACACACACACAGAGAGAGAGAGAGAGAGAGAGAGACAGAGAGAGAGAGAGAGACAGAGAGAGAGACAGAGAGAGAGAGAGAGACAGAGAAAAACAGAGAGACAGAGGCAGAGACAGAGAGAAAGAAGCAGAAACAGAGACAGAGAGAGACAGAGAGAGACAGAGACAGAGTGAGTTAGTTCCCATCCCCACCTATCCTAAGTAGCAGGTTCTGGGATTCTCAGACTGCATGGGACTCTTAGGTGTCCCTTTAAGAAGAAGGCTGGGGGACAGGTTCAGGAAGCCATGAGTAAGGCTTCTCATGTGTCTTTCTGGGCAATGCAGAGATTCAGGTCCACATTTCCCCAGAGTGTGCCTACCCTTACCCTATGGCCCTAGCCATCAAAAGAATGTAGGCCAAAGAAAAGAATACCTAGTCTCTATGGTCCTTTCCAGGTACACCTGGGAAGCCCTGGCCTGCTCATGGACACTGGCTTCATGATAGAAATACAGGGGTCTTAGGGACGGAGTGACCTTAGAGAGCCACTGACTCTGTCTCATCAATTTGAAAGCTTCTCTCAGGCTGGAAGGAGGCTCTGTATCCACCCAGCAGGATGTTCGAGGGGCCCCAGACATTGCCTCCATGTCCCTCCCCTTGGAGATAATCTACTCTGTACAGTCCAAATTCAATAGTAGGCTTCCACAGCTTTGCCACACCCCCAAGAGCAAAGATGCAAGCTAACGAGTAAGACCAGGTCTCAACAGAAACGGAATCTGAAAATGGATGGCGTGTAGTTAATTTCCCTCTGGCCACCTAGCTCCAGGCCAGCACCCCATGTAAATAATAGTACCCTGAACAGTCTGAAGCACTCTCAGGTATCGAATCTCTCTTGTCTGATATTTGAGCAGCAAGCGGAGCCAGAGGACAGGGTTCCCAGTACTCATTCTCAAAGGCTTCCTGTCCCTGCCGTTAGTCAGAGCCGAGAGCACAGCCACTGCAGGGCAGGTGTGAGCCTCCAGGGAGAGGTCTACACAGTGGCCTAGGGAGGATTAATCACTGTGTGTCTTTACTGAAGTGTCAGAGGGGACCTCAGAGATAGTGGTAGGGCAAGTCAACAAGCTCGGGTTGACAGAGTCTGATGGACACCTGAGTTGAGGGGTGGGGAAGCATGTCAAAATAAATACTGTGTGGAAACCAAAGGGTCAAAGGGTTTCATTACTGTTGCTCACCAGTAGGTGAAGGGTGTCAAAGACAAACTGCTCTAACTTCAAAGGAAGCCAGACTGGACTGTGATGGTCCGCCATTAATAAATGACTGTGCCGGGTGTCCTCTGATTGAGTGGGTGCTAGAGAGACATCTGAGCTGATTCCCAGTGGTCGGGATGGCTTGATAGTGTGCCTGTTACTATGTGTACCACTGTGCTGTGTGAATACTTGCTAACTGTGAGTCCTGTGACTTGTGTGGACTTTGTGACTGGGAATACATGACTGCAATCATGTATACCTGTGACTGTGTGTGCCTGTGACTGTACCTGTGACTGTGTGTAC